CCCTGCCAGTCTGGTGACAACGAGTGGGGCGACGGGAAGGAGATGGAGAAGAAGATGACGAAGGAGAAGAATAGGCAGAAGAATAGACCGAGGTAGAGGAAGAAGAGGTAGGATGAGGAGAATGAGTATGGTTGTTGTTGTTATTGGTATTGTTGTTGTTTCGATTTTGATTGTTTCGACCATGTTTAGACGTTTGCGGCCCTGGCTAGCCTGGAGACGGCGTGGCACCCTGCAATGTTTAGGCCACCTTTTCTAGGCCCTTCCCCTCGTGGGGGCTGGCAGTGCCATCCCTGAATAGGGCTGCCATGTGCCGTTGTGGCACGGCCGAACTCCACTATGGGACCACGACTTCGGGTTGTAGTGGAGAGCGACTCGAATTCGCCGTAAGCCGCGGTCTCCGTCGGCGAGGTTGGGCGCGTCAAGGCGATGTCGATATGGAGATCCATCCCGTCACCGGCTGTCAAGCGACGTTGAGAGACGAACCACGTCACGACGGTGCCGACGCAAGGTTCCGTCCGACCTTCCATCCAGCGGAATCCGCAAACCCTGTGCACACGGCACAGCGCACAGGGCCCCCTCACCTGGTTTAGTCCGCCGGTCGAGACGGTTGCCCGGGGTGTGGCCGCTGAGCAGACCCCAGCTACGTGGAGCCACAGGTGAGAGTTGAGTGCCAGCAAGTGGACGCTAGGCGCAGTCTCACCTGCAAGCAAGTGAGCGACCACCACGACCATTACGTGAACCCACCGCTGACACCCCTACACCCCGGTGAATATATATCAGGAGTAAGAAACAGTCAATTGTCTAAACCAGTAATAATAATAATAATTTTCTATTAAAGACCCGTCGGGGTCCATTCATTGCATGTAAAAATAAATTTAAATGCGAATTTAAGACGAGGTAGGCAGAATCTGTACAAAAAGCAATTCATACTATCTGAATTAGTAGTCCGTTGAGAAAAATGACTGGCGAGAGGAGAAAAAAAACTCCACTAAAAATTTAAACATGATAGGATTAGTTTTACAGGAGAAAAAACACCCCTCGATAAAAAACAATAACAAAAAATGCGGGCGGGACTGGCCAACATGTGACAGTGTATAATGGATTATAATCGGACATTGTCAGGGCAGAAATAAATGTCAAAATTGAGGGTTATGTATGCGGGTCGCTCCGAACTGGCCTGCATGGGGTATTGTATGCGCGATTCAGAATTGACATCGTCATGCGGGATTGATACGCCAGATGAGAATATTAGCATCCGAGAGGCGAGACGAGAGAAACCCAGACGCAATCGGCCACAGTACGCTTCGCGACAAGCCGAGGCGTGGAGAAGGGAGGTGCGACCAAACTACTAGTAGATGACGAATATTGAGGGTTTTGTCGTGAGCGTCGACAGACCGTAAGAGGTTGGAATGCGGGAGATGACATCAAGAACCGCGAAAATCGTCGCCATGGGGTGGAATGGTAGCAGTGTATTTAGCAACCAAACGAAAACAGGGTTTCTAATGATGTAATTGAGGGTTTCCAAT